TTTTTGGAGCAGCAGAGCCCAGAAAGACCAGGATACAGAGCAGGAGGAAAGGACCAGACTGAAACAGACTCCAGGGACAGGGGGAAGAGCAGAGAATATTTCCCTTGTCTCAGGGAACGGATTTGGGGTGCAAATCCAGCTTAATGCAATTCAGCCCTGGATGCTCCTGCACTGAAAGGAGTGTCTTTCCTCATGCCAATAAGAGCATTCCCTCTGGACAGAGGGCCAGGGATGATGCTCAGCTCCATCAGCAAAAAGCCAGCAGAGCTCCAGAGCTGCCCATTGCCAGCCCCAGCAGCAGCAGAGGCACAAATCCTGCCCTGCCAGCCAGGGAAGGAGAAGGCTGAGAGCAAGGGGCCTCCCCAGAGGCCCTGCAATCCACTGGAGCTAATCCCAGGATCACACCTTTCTCCTGTACCCTCTAGCTCCAGGAGAAGGTCACAGGGAGTCCAGGCTGCACAGGGTCAGCCAGTGAGGTCCTGTCCCCACAAGGGACCCTGGGACACTGTTCCCTGCAAATGACATCCTCAGGGTGCTTGAAAAGCCCCATCTCCAGGGCCAGGAGCACCCTCAAGGTCCTCCCAGAAGCAGAGGGAGCAGGTCGGTGCCCCGACCCGAGAGACCCACTTAGATCCCCTCAAGAAGCACCGCTGCCCCCTCCATCCCTTTGTGTCCCCCACGTCCCTGTCACAGAGGGCAGTGGCCCTGCTCCTGCCAAGCAGGGATCTGGGAGGCACAGATTCTGATTGAATCCTGGATGTGGAAAAAAAAAGAAAGAAAAAAAAAAGAAAGGTGCTTTTTGCGCTTATTGCTGTCTTTTGGGACGAATCCCACACCGGGACCACCCCCCTGCCTGGCCCGTGTCCTTCCGCGGGAGGTCAGCAGGGCAGTGCGGGAGCCGAGGGGCCGCGGGGCAGCCGGCAAGGGCAGGGCAGGCAGCTCCAGGGTGGCCGGGGGCATTTGGGGGAGGGCGGGGGCATCCAGCCAAATGCCCCCCGCTTTCCCTTTCGGGTCTCCAGCTCCCGGAGCTGGTTGTCTTGTGTCATTTGTTACTGCCAGGGGAGAGGGGATACCACCACCCCCCCTTTAAATTCCTGCTATTGTGGAGTGCAGGCCGGGTTGGACCTGGGTATTTAGATGACATCACCGAGCAGGTTGGGTTATAAAATGAATGAAGCAGAAAGCAGCCCAAGTTCACTAGCTCGGCACTTCGCAGGCGGCAGGAGGGACCTCGGGGCTCCGCTCTGAACTTTGACTGCCGTCGGTCTCGTCCTCTCCCCGGGGCTGCCCTCGGCTCCCCGCTGCCCCCCCGGCCCCCCTGCCGCTCGGCCCCGCAGGATGCAGATCTCACCCTTGCTGGCTGGTGGACTTTTACTCGCGCTGCTCTCCGTCAGGCTGGAGGCGAAGCCGGCGTCTCAGCTCCCACAGAAGGTACGGCTGGAGCTTTCTCCATTTCCCCGGCTCTTCCTCCTCTCCCGGTCCCGCTCAGAGCTCTAACCGCACCGGGGGAAACGAGGGGTGCCTGTGGGGTGCCGGACTCAGTGCAAAGAGGGGTTTTTCTCTCCGCATGGGCTGTTTGACTGCAAGGGGGACTCCCTGCTTCTCCAGGCTGTCCCGAACGTCCGGGGACATCCGCCCAGAGCCAGAGGCTGGAATGGGACGCGGTGCGCCCCGCAGCCCGCGGGATCGGGGCAGGGGAGGGGGGCAGTGCGCTCCCCGGAGTCACCCTGGAGACCCCTCTGTGCCGGCACGGGCAGGGGAGCAGAGCCGGAGCGGGGCAGGCAGCAGGTGCGCGGTGGGACAGGGCGCGGGAGCAGAGCCCTCCGGGCAGTCCCGGCCAAACAGGCCGGGCAGGGACACACAGGTGGCTGCCCCGTCCCCGCGTGTCCCATGGGGAAGGGGCGCCCCAAATGAGAGTGTCCCGGGGACCTGGTTGTCCCGAAATGCTGAGGACGAGGGATGTCCCCGAGGCCACCGACACTGGGTGGTACTGCCCTGAGGTCTGGGCACAGAGATGGGGACCCGGTCTGACGAGTGCCCCGGGGCAGCAGTGAGATGGGAGTGGCGGTGTCCCTGTAACTGGGGGAACTGGCACTGGGGTGCAGGCTGAAGAAAGTGTTGATACAGGGGGATTTTGGGAAAATGAATGAGGATGAACATTTCCAGGGCTTGGTGGGCAGCAGCTCTGAGCAGGGAGAAAGATGGAAGGCCTGGGAGATGGGGGAACAGTAAGGAAGGAGGTGTGTCCCTCTAATTGTGGGTCAGAATTGGAGAATTGGGAGGACACAGAGAGCATTAACGAGGGGAGGGAGCAGCAGGGAGGAGGATCCCTGACCTCCCCACCATTGCCTGGGACAGTCTGCAAGGCAGTGGTGCACGGGGAGCTGTGGGGCAGGACCCCTGCCCATAATTTGAAGAGGTCTGTAAACTGGTGAGGGATGCAGTGACCGAAGGGATCTGAAACGAAAGGACCTGCCAGCTTTCAGGCCCCTTCAGATTATCGGTGGTGGGGGGAGGACGGGACGGAAGGGGACGACAGGTTAGTGACAGCAGCACAGCTGAGGTGTGCAGTACCACCAGCCCTTTGGAGGGGCGGCGTGGATATGCAGTGACCGGGACAGGACGACACCGCTATGGTGTGGGTCGGGGGATGCTCTGAGCCCAGGGAAGGGCGCACAGATTTAGGGAGGAGAGAGGACGCCCTGGGCACAGCCGCGGGGTGACGGACTGCACTGCCGGGCACAGATCCAATCGCGAGTTTGCATCGCAGGGGGGATTCACCGACCCCTCTGCGCGTCCCTTACGGGGGTCCCCAACACTGATGGGGATCGCTGGGGACGGCGGCGCTCTGACCCTCTCCTCCCCACAGGCCTCCCGCGGGTCGGCGGCGGCAGCAGCAGCGGCAGCGGGTCCGCCCGAAGCGGCGGAGCGGGAGAAAGAGCGGGAGAAGGAGCGGAGCGGCGGCGGCGGCGGCTCGGGCCCGCGGGAGGCGCGGGAGGCGCGGGCCGAGGCGCGGCCCCGGGCGGGCTGGGCGCGGCTGCTGCAGGACCCGCCGGGCCGCCGCCACAAGGGCCTCCACAAGAAGGGCCTGGGCAAGGGCTGCTTCGGGCTCAAGCTGGATCGCATCGGCGCCATGAGCGGCCTCGGATGCTGAGGGACCCCTGGCGGTGAGTGCGCGGCCGGGCCGGGATGGGGCCGGGATGGAGCCGGGGGGCTGCGCTCCGGTACCGCGGGGGATGCGGAAGATGCGCTGCCCTGCGAACGCGAGATACCAGGGGACGGGACTGCAAGTGTTCACCCCGCTGAGCCTTGCAACGCCCAGCTTTGCTGGCGGGCAAAGGCCACACAAAGGTGGCCTTATTCCATTCCCGTCCGGAATCCACCGGCCCTCCAGCTGCCTTGCCCTGCAGAAGGGTCAGAGACCCCAGCTGCTCCTGCAGCAGCTCAGACTGAATTCCCCCTAATTTGAGCTAGACCCGTAGGCTCCGGGAAGGATGCAGGAGGAGCTCCGGTGTGGCCACATGTTCCTAGTTGCCCCCTCTGCTTGACACACTCAAGTGACCTATGGATAGGTGTTGGGAGGGCAGGGTACCCCCTGTGTGCCTACAGCTGGAGAGTTAGGGAGGCTCCTGTCCCAGCCATGCTCCAGTGCTTTTAATTTAAGGAAAAACAACACATAAGTTCCCCGGGTGTCTTCTAGGTGCGGTGACAGCCACGAGTAGCACTTTCCTAACTGCAGCTTTGTATTTGAGCAAGTTATGGGAAGCTGGAAGAAGTTCCTCCCACAGTGCTTCACAGCCACTGTGTAGCAACAAATGGGTGAAGGAGGGTTGCTTCCCCAAAGTGATGGGTTTGGGAAAAACATAGCAGTGCCTCCCCTCCCAGTTCTCCCTGCAGGTACTGGGGACAGTGAGGCACAGTTCTGGCCTGGCCAAGCCAGCAGGACACACACAGATGAACTCACATTTCGGGAAGCACTTACCACTGTAGCCCAGGCCACTTGTTCTTCTTCCCATGGCACAGCACTGCAGTAACATAACTGGGCACAGAGGGGACTGGATCCAGCATCCTGCTGCTCTGCAGGGCGATGGGAATAGCACAACCCAAAGGTGCCTACAGGATGCCAGTGCTGGTCTCTGCTCTTTCCTGGAGGGATGGGTGCTGTTTCTCTGCTCCCTCATTTAGAGACTCCTCAATATTGCCAAGTATTGCTAGCTCGGGGCTGCAAGAGGAACACACATACCCCATGTAGGCAGGTCACATCCCCTCTCTCTCACTAAACCCATCAGAACAAGGAAATAAACTCCAATAGATACAAGGGCAAGAGGAGCAGCAGTTTCCTCAGCCTCTCCCCTGAACACCAGCCAGAAGGCAAAGGGTGCACTTCCTTCCTTGCTTTAGCACAAGCAAAAAGCTCAGGGATGGCTTCTGCTGAGTTCAGCATCCCCCAGCCCCAGGCCACAGATACTTTGGCAGGGGTTTTGGCTGGGGATGGGTAAGGGGTGCTGCATGGCAAGTACTAACGGGCACTTTGTTCTTGTTCCTTGCAGGGCTTTGAATCTGTAGTCCACTTTTTCCTACCAAGCATGGCCAGGCACGGCCAGCCCCCAGGCAACACCTAGAGAAGCAGAGACCCCCTTGGAATGGACAAAAGATGTGGTTGTGTTTTTCTTTTTGGTACGAGGAGTCATGGCACCAACTGTTTTGGTTTTGTTATTTTTTTAACAAGTGCTCTCTATCTTATATATATTATATATACAAACACTCACTGAGACAAGGGACAGTGCTTTTCCAAGAGACTGATGAAGCCAGCTGTATAACATTGCTGTTTGTAAATTCATGTCATGCATAAATGTATTTATGTTGTAAAGCTATTTATATATTGTTTATAAAGAGATATTTATAAAAAAAATTATTTATGTAACTAAATGAAAAGTCAAGCATTGTAACATTTTTTTGTCCTAAGTAGTTGAAAAACTTTAAAAAAAAATCATTCAGTGTGGCATTTTGTAACCTGTCTTTATTTATCAAATTCACATACAATTTAAATGTCAGATTGATTGATTTTAACAGAGCTGAAGAAGAAATTGTTCAGATGTTTTAGAAAAGTCAGGAGTGAGAGAAAGGCCAGCTGATATTTTAAGCTTTGATCCCATATGCAAAAGTAAACTTGTGCCCAGTCCTGTGATGCTCTGATGGACTGAATCCTGCCTGGCGCTGCAGGACTCTGCAGACCCCAGCTGAGCTCCCTGCGAGAGCACACAGCCTTGGGCAGCACATCCATGCCCAGATCCCAAATGGCACCCATGGAAATGAGCCCAGCACAGTTAACAGCCAAGCCCTGGATCCACAGCAGTGTGACAAGGGCAGCATCTGTCCCAGACGTGCTTTAACTGCTCCTAGCCCAAGCTTCAGCCCATAGCTGCAGCTCTGTCACTGCTGCTGGATGGAGACGCCGTCCCTGCTGACAGCAACAAAGAGCCCGCGCTGGACCTGGCCCCTGGCTGTGCTGCTGGGAGCAGAGCTTTGTGCCAGAGGCACTGCTATTCCAGGATCCAGTGGCCCACTAAGTGTCTTGTTGATATTCCCATCCGCCAGCCCTTTGCCACTAAGCTGTAAAGTCTCTTCCTCCAGCAGAGATTTATTTAACTGAGCCAGGGACAATACACAGACAGACCAAAATATACCGAGAGCTGCCTGGTAAGGATTCATGGACACAGCTGTTGCTACAGCTTCTTGCTATGTAAAGTGCATGAAATAAATCGTTAAAATGACTTGGAGCTCTAAAGGAAACAGCAAGTGAGGGGGCGGGGAGTGCAGTAAACACACAAACTCCTGCTTGAAGGCTCTTTGGTCTCATTCTTCAAAGAGGCCTTAGAAAAAAAGAGAGTGGCAGGCGCCCAGCCCAGCCGTGACAGGAGTCACAAATTATGCCCTGGCCATTGTAGTGGGCTGGGAAACAACGAGCATTATGTTCTGCTGGGCTCCGGTGCCTAGGACAGGGCAAAGAGAAAGTCACCAAGACCCAGAGGCAAAGCGATCCTTTTCCTTAGCAACCAGCAGGAAACCATAGAAACCTCCAGCCAGACTCACCCCAGCTCTGACAGAACACTGGGTGAACAGAACAAGAGGATTCATCCAGACACCCACAGCTCAATCATCAGGTTAGGAGTGCATAGGGGGCGTTTCTGACCTCGCATGAGCACGTCAGAGACAGGTACCCACCTCACAGTGCCCACAGTGCCCGCTGGACGGGGAGCAGCAGCTGATGGACCACATAAGATGTTGCCTATGGGGAACAAAATCAACACCCTGGCAGGGAGGGAGGCAGGATGGGCAAGTGGCAGCTCCCATAGGGAATGGCAACCCACTGTCAGGGCTCTGTAAGGCAAATATACCTGTGAAGGTCACCCTTCCAGCTCCACACATCTTTAGAGGCAAGGAGGGGCTGTATCAGGAGCTCCTAAAGAGAGGCCCAATAGAGGGGACTGTTCACTGTCACCCAGGAAAGCTAAAGGAATCGCTTACTGTGCAGACCTTGCACAGCCAGGTCTGAACAGAGGTGTAAGAAGGTGGTGCTGCAGGTCCTGTTCAGAGTCCTGGTCCTTGAGCATGAAGCCGGAGTAGTGACCATGATAGAGTGACAGGCTGGCACCAAGGTGGGGACAATTCCCCTTCCAGTTTTGGCTTTTTGCTGCAAGCTGGAGCTGAAATAAAATCACCTGCCTAGTGACAGAGAGCTTGTCCTCAACACAGCAGCAGGGACTCAGCCTCAGGAATCCAATTCACATAATTTTACCACATAAGTGAGGCAGAACCTGAGATAAGGTTGGGAGATTGAAGATCATGGCCTGGGGTCATGTACAGTCTGGATTCCCGTTTCTCCTTGGCAGCATTGTCCAAGAATAAAAGCACAGCCCACAGCATGGGTCCCTTCCATCCACTGGGCTTCCTGGGAAAAAGCAAGCCCAAGGAAAAGGGCAAAGCTGTACAGCAAAAGGCCATTAGGTTGGCAGAGGAGAGCAATCAGAGCTAGAGCTCCTGGTGCAGAGGGAGAAGATAACAGCTTGTTTCCTCACTTTCCTGCTTCTGGTCTGACCAGAAGGATGTGGATTCCCAATAGCATCCCATCCTGTCCCTTAGGATGTGGATTCCCACCAGCAGGATGGGAACATCGTGCCCATGTGTGGTGACAATGTGCAAGAGAGAAGGCAGCACTCAGGGGTGAAAGAACACTTGGGAAAGCTCAGATCCACTCAAGCTCAGCCCCTCTGTGGCACAGCCAGACCAGTGGGTCTGACAGGCAGAGAGTGGCACTGCCAGCAGAGGTCAGTTCTCAGAGCACTGGTGAGCACTTTGCTGCTTCACTGGGCAAGCAAGAATGGGAATCAGAAGTGGCTCATTAGAACACAGTAATCACCCAAAATGGCCACAACTGGGTCTCCCTGACAGGGGCTCAGCAGAAAACAAGGGCAGCAAGCAAGAAGGACCACAGGCGAGGAGGCGAGGAGGCATCTTGTGCAGCAAAAACAAATTCATCTCGCATCACTGCCTCCCCTGATGGCCAGCTAGGTCAGATCCTCACAACATCCCATGAAAGGATCCATGGCCTGCCCTGGAAAACTCCCCTGCTACATCCCAGCCCAGACAGCATAAGTGATCAACAGCTGTTCTGGATGCAAGGTGCAGCCTCAGGAGGTGGCATCTGATATCTCAACCACAGTCCCAGAGAATGGCCTTTAGCAGAGGTGTGTACACACACCTGGAAGTGAGGGGAGAAGGAGTTCCAGGGTCCCCTGTCCATACTCAGGTCAAATTAGCACTCATGGGACCTACACATTTCCTGCACCACCAGCTGGATGAGCAGTAGCCAATTCAGCTTCCAAATGGGAACACTTGTGACATCATGTAGGAACAGCCTTGATTTCTCCTCTCCAGGAGCAGTTCCTAGCAGGAGTTGAGCCATCAGCCCCCAGACTGAAAAAGCACACAGCTCTCTAGTAGAAAAGGAAAAAAAAACTTTCTCCAGTGCTGCAGTACAAGTGCCTGGCAAAGCCCAAACAGGCTGAAGCAGACCTTGGAGCATTCACAACAGTGACACTGTTGCCTTCTAATGTGTGGGAACCCATTCTGTTCCCCCAGCCCATATTCCACGTTTTTCCCTGGTACCATTGATGCAACTCTTCCCAGGTACTTATTGCTGAAGGGTTACAAAGCCCAGCTCTGGTGACAGCAAACCCCAAAGCAATGAAGAAAAAGAGAAGCCCAGAGTCCCAGGGCAGGAGAGCAAAGGAATTTTCCATCTGGAAAGGGACTTGAGGCATGGAGCACGGACTGCCAGGGGCAGCAACAAACATGCCCCTGCCACTTGCTCCAGGACTTCTCCAAGCATGGGCTGCTTCCCTCAGAATGCAGAAAAACAAAGGGAAGGGATCATAGGGCGACTTCCAGAGGGAGCCTGCACCTGACACAAGCGTGAGTTAAAAACAAGAAGGGAATTGAATTCAGGCCCCTTCCTGTCAGTCAGCAACTAACCTTGTCAGGAGGGATGGCAGCACTAACTGAATCAGGCAATTCATTAGGTTGGGGCATGCAGCAAAAGCCCACGCTCTCTGGAGCAGAACTACAGTGAAAATCCAGGGTAATGAGTTGCAAACTGCCTTTGTAAATGACACTTCTGCAGCGACTCTGGCAGGATGGGAAAAGAGCTAATAGGAAAATCATTAGGTAGCATCCCTTTGATATTGTTGAAAACTGCACAGGCTATTTTTCCTGCCCCCTCCATAATTAACCTGGTATATTACCCATAATACTCCAGGCTGATAGTCCCACAATGGACCACCTTATCTGCATCAGGGGAAAAGAAGGTATGCTACTTAAAAGGAAGACGACTCCTGGAAAAGCTTAAAAGGTGTTAAGATTTCCCCCCTACTGCACACACTCATCTTCTTCAACTCCATCAGCAACCAACCTCTGCCCAGCCAGAAGACCAAAACCCTGTGACAGTCAGCAGGAAGGAGCAAGGCTGTCCTGGGAAATGCAGCTGCAGAGGAACTGATCTGCCCAAGGTTGCTCTCTGCAGCTGCAGCAGAGCTGGAAGAGGACACAGTTCTGTGCTTTGCCCCTTATTTACAACACTGCCCTTGTCCTTGATTTCCTTTATGCTAAACCAGGCTACAGCCTGTGCCTCCTGAGATGCAGAACAGCTCTGAGGAGCAATGCCTACCCACCTGGCCTGTCTGCCAGCACGGAGAGGTGTCATCTCAGAGTCGTGATGTAAAAAGTACAGCACCACAGCTGGCAGGTGATCCTGAAGGAACTGGTGCTCTCTAACAGCTGTGAAGGTGACAATGAAACACCAAAACGTTACTGACTGCATCAGCACAGAGCAGCCTTAGGACTGTGCTAATCATGAGACACTGAGTGAAACACGAGGGCTGGTGAGATAAACAGCATCTTTGGGAAGAATCTGAAGGGCAAGAGAACACTCCTTCCAAACCTCATACCCATGAAAATACAGTCTATGGTCAAACAAGCTCCAAATACTCACAAAGAAGCTGATCCCTGATGGAGCGAGGCTCTGCTTACCCACCACAATCAGCTCTTCTGGAAACACAGAGCTATCATGTGTGACTAGGGCATTTCAAAAACACCCTAATGATACAGATTTCTAAAGGCTCTTTGGAGATCTGGAGATGTGGAAGTGAGTGCCATCCTCTACTAGAATTAGAGCAAGCAAGGACTACTGGCACAAATTATTTTGTGCTTTGTGGGGAAATACATATTTCAGGACTGTTAAATGACCTTATGGCATCCCATTACTGCCTGGAATTTCCAGTGTGTATGTATGCACATTCACTAGAGCAGGGACGTCTCTTCTTATCAACAAGAAAAAACTGTGGTCACAGCTACCACACTCAGGCAATTTGCAGTGGGGCATGTCATGAGATGTACACACTGCACAAAGGAGCCTCCATGCCTGTGGATTAACAGACAGGGAGCCAAGTGCTGCTCTGCCCATTTCTTTGCCTGGCTGACTGATGGGAGAGGGGAGTAGCACCCTGGGGATGCTGAGAGGCAGGGTCAGCCCAGCCTCGGGGTAAACACACAGTCTCTTTACAATCACTTACCTCTGGGAGCTCTGTGGGAGGGCCAAACTTGAGGAACTATCAGCAAAGTGTCAACAGTCCCTGAGAGACACGGACCTTCGTCATGGAGCAGAATGAAACAATGACATATTCCTAAAAACTCTGCCGAGAAATTCAATCAGACTGTCAGGCTAAAATTCCATATTAAGAATACAAGCTTGAGGTTACAAGTAGGAACTGAGATCTCTCTAAATTTTACTTTACCTTTCTTGATGCCCCTGGGTTACTCTCTTTCAGATTACACAGAAATTTGCTATGCAGACTCAGGTTTTAGTTCCCTTGCATTTGGTCAGGTGTTATAGAGGACTTAGTGGGGTGGAAAAAAACAACAGGAAACTTTGTGACCAGGTGCCCGAGATGGGGCTATCTGGGTCTATTGTGTTTGTTGGGCAGGCTCTTAGATTTCTCCATTTCCCCATTATTTAGAATAATAAAGAGCAAGGTTGTTTTTCTGCATTGCAGTTTGCAACAGGCTCAGACCAAAAATAGGAATCCCCAGCATCAACAGCCCCATGAATGCACAAGTTTGGGCTGCTTTACTGTGCAGGGGTGGGCTTTGTGTGGTTTCTAGCTTAGCTGAACTCATATAATCCTGCACAGAACTGAGAGTTTAGGAGAAATCTGGTTTGCCCATACAATTTATGTTCTAATACAGCTATCAAAGATAAGGGCACTGTTTCTTCTGTCTTCCCTGCAGTGAGTAAGCACAAGTCTGCTTGGCACATAGGAACCAATGCATTTTGCCCTCATAGGATAAGAACACTAAAACCCAAAACACCCTCTGGGGTCTGCATCCTTTTACATTCTTTCAGGAACTGAAAGATGTTCAGCAAAATTCACTTTGCAGGCATGGTGGGAAAATTGCCACTTCTTTTGACCACTGTCTTCTGTAAGGAACAAAGGCTTCACTTTCTGCCCAAAAGCTTCGCTCTGGAGAGCAGCTCTGCAGGTCCTACTCCTTTACATGATGCATGGAGAGAGACCTGCAAGCATCCATGGGATTTCTTAGGGCTGCACAAAATTGATTGCAGATCAGGTCTCAAATCTGAAGACAGAAGGGATTGTCAGCATCACTGATTTTCCCTCCTGCTCTCAACACAAGAGTAAGTTAGCAGTCAACTTAGCTAAGAAGGTGAGGAGGGAAGTAAAAGAAGAAGAGATTTTAATTCAAAACTTTTTGTTTTCTTCTGTTAGAGACTGACATCAGCACTGCTTTACTGTGTTCCAGAATTGCCTGATGTTAGCTGGTATCAAGCGAGTCTCGGCAGGAATGCCAGGGACATTTGTTAGCACGAGGCACAGCTTTAGGGCTAGGGCAGCCTACCAGCACTGCAATCAGCTGAGATCCTCTCTTCCATTTTCCAGCTCAGTGCTCAATTCCATATTAAACAAGCACTAGTACAAGTGGAGCTACAGAACACAAAGCTAGACAATAAAGCCCTGAAGAGCAGAGGGAAGGCAGTTTCCATCCACTTTCTCTCCCTCTGGGTGGAAAAAGCAAACAGAAGTCCAATAGCTCAAAGTCTGTCCTGCTGCAATCTTGGAGCGAGCTGCAGCTGGAGCATCCCATCGCTGCCATAAACCAAAGCAGGGCAGGATGCTCGCCCTGCACCAGGGAGCAGCGTCCAGCAGTGTTCAGAAAAGCTGTGTTAGCTGCCTCCAGCAGGCACAGGCAATCCATGGGAGTTTGCATCAAATCTGCCTCTGCTTCCACCTCCCTCTCGTCCCCACAGCAGTTCAGCTCCCTGGGCACTCCCCACAATTCAGCCCCTAATTCACACAACTCTGCTCTGAGTTGCTGCCCTTCCTGTAGTCAACAGGACTCAAAACAGTCTTTATCTTTTGTTGTTCTCAAAGAGCACACCACCTCCTGCATCCTTGCCCGTTAACAACTCTGCCTTCTGCTTCATTTCTGGAATAGCTTCTAACTCTTTCCTTCAAGCCAGATTCATTAACCAGCTGCTGCAGAGCTGTTTGCCTCCCCCAGGTACTCTGTGCATGTCATTTGTTAATGACTCATCTCAGCCTGGGCTCATTGCAGACATCCCCCTCCTTTTGTAGCACCAAGCCCTTTGCTGGCACACCAGGAAAGCCAAACAGGCAACAGCTCCATCCCCTCCAACACACCAGTCCCTTCCCTGTCCATGGGACAGCTCTTTATTCAAAGTGCTATTTCCTCTCTTGCTGCTTTGCTGATCAAAGGCAATGCGAACCAAAGCATAAATAAGATCCTCACCCCCAGCCAGGCTTTGAGAACAGCAAAAACACAAGAACAAACTCAGAAACTTCCAACCACAAAAGAGGCTTCCGTAAATGAATGTGACTCCTGAAACTGGCAGGGAATAAACACTAAGGGCACTGAACTCACATCTACCTCCCCAGCAGACTGTGACTTGATGAGGAGCTAAAATGATTCCCAAAGGTATTTGTATTCCCCCTGCCACTTTGCAGGACTGATATTAAAAGTGGAAAGAGGACCATAGAGCCTCACTAGTCAAATCCAGTGAGGAAATGGATGATCAGCACATTGCAGCTGTCCACACAGCAAGCTAGAAACACAGTCCATCTCCATCACAGACTTGGGAACACAAGGTCCACCTACACCTCCTGAGAAGCTGTCAGCTGAACACTGTGAGAAGCTGAAACAGGAGTTAATCCTGCCACTGCTTGGGAAACAGTTCCATTGAGTTACTGGTGAAGGCTTTGTGCTCTGGGCTTATCCACTTAACATCCTTGTTGCATTTCTAGGGGGAGAGAGAGCTGGTAAAGAATCAGAAGCCTGACCAGAATCAGAAGTGTCTGGGATTTGACTCAGAGGAAGCTGGAGGGAGAGTATTTTGATCTTCCTCTCCAGACTGAAAGCTGGTGTGCCTGCATTGCAGGAGAAGAAAAGGAGAGGGATTTACTTTCACAAGTGAGCAAGTCCTGTGACTGAGGACTGCAAACACACAGATGGCAAAGAGTCCTGGTAGCAATAAGAGGAAGGCACGTGCATTGCACGAGCAAATGCAGGTGACAGCTGGCTGCAGGACTGGAGCATTGTCACAGTCCTCTGCTTAAACAGCTCCCCTGCCTGCCCAGGAAAAGAGCATCTCTTTACAGAAGTGAAATGCAGGAGCCAAACTACAAAGCAGCACTCTGCTAGATGCAAAGGAAGGAACTGCCTGGCCTAAGAGCACAACTCTGAACCTTCCACAACCTGGCATCAAAGCTGTTTAGGCTCAGGACACGGGCTCAGCTGCCAGCTTTGCCCCACACAAATCTGGACAAAGATGAACGACTGACAAAACGTGAAGAGGCTTCCCTGTCTCCCAGATGCATCAGAGATCAATCAGACCTTTGGTCAACATACACCAAGAATCAAATATGCTCAAGTGACCAAGTGCCATTGGACAACAACCCTAAAACAGCCTCTAAGTCAAGACTCCAGACTCTGAATTAAATCAGCATTTTTAATTTTTTTTCTAAAATGTACTTTTTTTATGAATTGCTGTTCCAATGCTTCCCCCTTAAAAAAAACCCCACACCGTGCCAAACTAGGTGCAAATCACCTGAAGTTAGTTTGTAACAAATAAAAAAACCCCCACAAAACAAAGGCTGAAATGCTTTAGAATCACAACAATGTACAAAAAAAAAAAAAAGGAGGAAAATACAACCTGAAAGTGTTCAAAATTCAGAAAGACTCATCAAGTCCATTGCTTCAGCAAGGGGATGCAGCTGCGACCCCTGCCAGTGGGTCCTGGGCCACCAGCCTGCCTCCATGCCAAACAGGCTCCTCTCCCACTGTCGCCAGCATCCAAGGAAGAGAGAATGCATTACCCTTTGAAGGTATCAATGGGGGAAACAACTCACAAGCAGCTCTGGGAGGTCACATCACATTCAGGAGGAACAGTTTCTAGCATGCCCCTAACCACCTGCAAGGTCTGTGTGAAAGAGCAGCCTGCTTCCTCCTTATTGTACTGATGCCTCAGAGATGCAGAACAGTGCTTTAAATCTGTGAGAGATTAAAGGGCTTAGTAAGGGCAGTAAACAGACAGTTAACAGCCCAGCACTGGAACTCATCTTCACAGAGCGAGGTAGTGTGAATTTCACCCCAGTTTAAAATAGACAGGGGTAGTGGAAAGGCTGAAGGCTTCCATGTAAAGCAGTTCCTGGCCTAGAAACCTTCCTGTGCTCCCTTTAGGAATGAAAAGATCTGTGTTGATGGCTTCCTCGCTCCCAGCCTGGCTTTGGTAGCCACACTTCAACCCTGGGATTCAGATGCTTGCTAGGGAAGCTCTCCCATGATCTGATTCAGTAGAGCAGCTTCCTCAAGGTTAAGCAGCAATGAACTGGCTGGGAGGGAGCAAAACGGTCCACAGATATTTTGGTTTTTTCCTGCCCCTTTTGGTTAGTCCCTTTCTTTAAAAGTCCCTCTTGACAGGACCAGAGCAGGGACGCCCTGAAAACTCATAGGAGCTGCACAGTGTAACTTAGCCAGGTGCTGCTAACTGGGAGCTGTTCAAACAGGGCTTTTACTTGCCAGCTGGGAAGGGACTGGCCCAGAACCCACTGAAAAAGGAGACGCAGGCCCTTTTTGCTCCTCCTGTTGTCATTCCTAACTGAATGACATTTAGATGGCATGTTCTAGTGACGGCTGGAGACCAGCCCTTTGACTTTGGACATCTTCTTTGTGGGCTGCCTTTGTTCTGTGTGTGGAGGGCACTCTCGCTCTACCAGCTGCTGTTCCATCTCCTGTGCCGACGACGAGGCTGTAGCTTTTAATGTTTTCTTTATGTTTGTGACCTGGCCAAGAAGAGACAGTGAATCAGCACCTGCTTCTTCCTCCCCTTGCAGCAGACACTCTGTTCATAAACATATTGAAAAACCCCTGGAGTACAAGAGTGGAGATTATAAAAGAGACTCTCTCAGCAGTAACATGCTCTCCATTTGAGTTTAATAAAGGTAATGTTTCATCCTCATTTACAGACAGAGCTGATAGTATTTCCACTCTGGAATAACTAGGGATCAGTTTTTTTCCTAAGAGACAGTGGTACAATATTGTACCACCCTTCTGTCTGGCTGGAGGAACCTACTACTGCCTTGGTGGAGAAGGAGCTATCCTACCATTCTGTCAGCCAGAAGCAGGAAGGGGAAAGGAGACAGTGAAGGAAAAATTTACTCTCAGGACAGAACTCAAAAAGCAAAAATGCCATTTGGCCTACCTGACTACCTGAGACACAGGTTATTTGCTAAAAAGCAGGAACAGAAATTGGTTTTGTGGGAAGCAGCAGCAATGTTTCTGCTACTCTGGCTGAAAAGCAGAGATACAGCACTAAGCACCACCCTTGATCCCCTGCAACTCTGCAGGGCTCACCACAAATACACTGAGCAAACCTTCAAAAAACCCCCAAGGTTTGGGCGTCAGGTGTGCCAACTCCAAGCCAAAGGTATCTGGCAAACCAAAAGTGCTATGGATACGGATAAAGCCTCCAAGCAGATGCAAACATAAACCTGCAGGGATGATAACCCCTGATGGAGCGCCTCGAGAGGCCCATCCCCGCCTCCCCAGCGGCCGGGGCCGCGGTTTCGGGCCGGAGCGCGGGCTCGTGCTGCCACCTAACGGCGGGAGCGCGCACGGCCCGGCCCGACCCGGGGGAGCTGCCGCGGGCACTTCCTGCAAGGGCAATTGAGACTCCAGAGATTTTTAACTACACTTCCAGGCTTAACAAAATGGCTTTTACCCCCTCCCCGCCTTGTACGAAGGGAACAGAGTTGCAATAAAGATTTGTGGTAAAAGCATAGTTTTCCTAACGAATCAATACAGGAAACCACAATTAGTGCAGTCACCTAGCCTAAATTTATAAAAATTTATCAATGAAAGGTCCACTCTGCTGGATGTCTGATGTTTGTGGTCATACTAGCACACAGAAGCAGATGTGTTTTCTTTCTACCCCATGCCTGATTTGCATGATTGTTAGCCTTCTTCTGAGAGCTGTGACCATCAACCAGGTGTTTATTATAGAGATTATTTCCTTCAGCAAACAAACATTTATCCAACAGCATAGAAGCCTGAGATGACTGTACCCACCTCCATCTCTACCTGCTGCTGAGTTCGGTGGTGGTTCTCTTTGTACTGGTTGGCTCTAAGTACTTGCTGCTCAATTCCTAAAAGAACTGCTTCACAGCCATCACACCTGCAAGATACAAATGATGTCAAACAGTGTTTACAAATTCTTCCTGGAGCAGCTCAATCAGGCAATCTGATAAGTCACGCTCATCTAAAAGTTTAAGAGATTATTAAATTTATACTTCCTGCTTAGAGTTGCAAAAAGCTGGCAAGAAAAAGCTTTGCTGTGTACTCGATGCACTTGTCAGCACTCTCTAGAGAGTCTGGGTTACCCTTACCATCAGAGAGTAAGTGCAGGTTCAATGCACTTTCATCTTCCTTTTCAGACAGAATTACAGCTTAAACAGGATGCAACACGGTATTCAAACGCAAAATTTTAAATTACAGAAAAAAGTAATATTGATATAGTCCTCCTGCCTGTTAAGTGTCCAAATGACAAGAGCACTCAGCATGGAACTCAAGAACTGGAAAAGACAAAAAGGGAATTGGCAGTGGGTTCACTGTTACCTTCCAAATAATGCTGCAACGTCCTGGAAGCTGTCAGAGCCCTCCCACTGTGATGGGACTGAGGGAGTTGGAGCAAAGAAGCAAAAAACCTGTCCCCACCATAGGACAGCATATTTGCCCAGCAGTTTAATTACTTTTTATGCACTCATTATCATAGCAACTAGGAAGCAATTCCCAGTCAGCTCAGGACCTGCAATAGGCTCCACAGTCTATGCAGGAATTTCTTTAGGTGGGAAGGGAATCCTACAAAAAGATGAGAAACAGCTTCCTGGCAAAGGTACAAAGAGATAATGCCACAGTCCCACTACAGCTGCAGACAGGCTGCATTTGCAGGAGCAAAGAGAAGACAAAGCCACCTGAAACGTCAAACCTGAAGAGACATCCTATCCAAAGAGCTGTGATTCTTGAGAATTTGCCCACACAGTTCTCCACACAGTGAAAAAGGCTGAAAACTAACAGTTCTGCCCTCATTATTAAGTGCTGCAGCTCCCACCACAGAACCATGAGTCCAGTTTGGCACCTCTTTCTGCAAAGTCCTCGACTCATCACTGGAGCTCTGCCATGTAAAAGCTACAGTGAGAGCAGAAGCTCACAATGTGGTAGAGTTTGGCTTGATACATAATACAAACTGAATCCCAGATGGGATCTTGGAAAACTTGCCCAACAGACTCCACCTCCAAGTGCCTACTTATAGCATAAGACTCCTGATTAATGGAACATGATGAAATTGAGCCAGCACTTGAAACTGTGAGGGGGAAAACAGGACAAGCTATGTACAAGGAATAAGGAGGGTGGAGAGACTGCCTCACCATTCCTGGAGTGTTTTGACAATGTTACTGATGTCCTTCTTCTGAATGTCTCTGCCAATACAAAAATCCACCTCTAACACCTGGTTTCGTTGATCCAACTTCCCCTGGATAATATCTGTGTAAACTGCTTCAATAATGAGATCTTCCAGCTCCCTCAGATTCCTCATATCCAGGTCCTTCAGCAACACAGAATAGGGAATGCACTAGAAACAGCAAGACCAAGAGTAAGTTAACAGTCCTAGAGCAAAATGAATGGCTGAGTCTCAAAAGGTTGAGACTCAAATGTTTATTGTATCCTACACTTTGACCTACAGGTGCAGCAGTGACTGATCATGGCAGAACAAATGCTTGCCAGGCTGTGAAATATTCTGACACAACTTTGGTAATTCCTGAAGCTTTGGTATAGTATAGCACATTCTAGAAGAAAAAAGGTAAATGGGATTGTAGAAGAAATTAAGAGTGTTGCATAATTTTCTCTAGAAGAAAAAGTCAGTGTTTTAAAGAATCATTCTCCATCTCCAGCAGTGAAAAAAGCCATACAGATTTCCCCAGACCTTCCTGACCAATCTGCATGTCAATTCAGACACCCTCAAACTTCACCCATGGAAGTCCACTAAGTCAATATCCCAAATGCACAAGGAGAGCACACTGTACCCTACGTGTACCTTCACAGTACAGGATTTTTTGTGAGTACCCATGCAGTCTGATACAACTTCAGTGCTCTGGAATGGATGCCATTTTCCAAAACAAAACCAAGAGACAACAGCTGTCAAACCCCACACGCTTTACCTTCATTCGGGAAGCCAGGCTTACGATCGTCAAGTGCTTCAGCTTGTTTTTCTGAGTCACTGTTAATTCAGGCAGGTTATCTTTGTTTGCTGTTAATGTCAAAAAGACAAGATTCAGGACTTCACTTTGAAAATTACATAATCCAGGCTGCAGAACTCCAGGCTAGTTATGCTACACTACACCCTGAAATACCGAACACCTCCAGCTAATGTGGGTGCTGGCTGGTGAGCAGAGTGTGCTGCTGCAGATAAACTGGCACAACCAGGGAGAGAAGGGGAAAAGTTAAGAACAACTTGGCAATTCCATTCTTATCTGCTTCTTTAATAATTCTGGTTCTGGAATTATAAGGTAATTCATAACTGGTGCCCTGCCAAAACAATTGGTCAATGGCTTTGTTTCTAGAAGTCATTTTTATTTCATTAACAAGATGACAGAAAAAAATCTTCCCCCTTTGCTGATGTGGTTGCAAATACAGCTGGTTTTATTTCTCTGAAGAGCTGCAGAATTTAAAGTGCAAAGTACCAAGCTGAGGAAGAGAGCAGAAATCATTAATCTAGATGGCCACACTGTCACTGTATTATATCCATGTGCCTCATGAATATTTAAAAAGAGAAAGGCAACTGGCAGCTCTCCAAAGCTAAGAAACTCTTTAAAATATCTACTTTAATGGAAATTAGTGTTTCAGGGCTACTCAAGTTCTCCCATCCATCCCACCTCATCCAATGCTCTTCATTTTGACTGCTTTTCCCCCTTTCTCTTTCTTCACTAGAAAAGGAAGAATGAACTGTGCTGTCACACAGTGACAGAAGAGCCATGGACAGCAAGCACATCCTCTAATCAGTCATAGAATTCATGAGACTCATGTTGCTCCACAGACACTGGAATTTCCAGTCCTTGCACTTACAGATGCCACTGCTCCTTACAGGAACTAGATAGCTCATCCACCACCCTGAGAAACAGCACTATGACAGAATTATTTGTCACACTCTGTAATGGTCTGGATGAGGCTGCTACCCACAAATGAAGCATTAAATTGTAGCAGAATGGAAGCATAAGTACTAGAGATAAAAGCACATTTCAACAGATACAAAGATGATTCACACATAGTCTTTCTAAAGCAGTATAAAAGTCATTATTTCAACTTGTATTCTAGCTAAGAAATTATTCACTTTGTTTCAGCAATGCCATCACAGAATAAAAGGTTATCTCACAAACCATATAGGTTTTTATAAATAATGCAGAACAACTTTGTCTAAGTTTTCTGCAGTTTCCATAACTGGTGTTACCTAAATTTCCATAGAGATGTCTGAAATTTCCCTCTACGGAGGTAAGTGGCCTGTGAACATCAATGAATTCTGTCTGCTGCAGACCAATTCAACCCAGCACTGCAGTCCCATCCAAACCAGCAACACCCCACAGTCTCTAACCCTTCCTTTCATTTTTAGCAAGCAAAAAGCACACATGACCCAGACCCCCTACAGACAATTCTCCTCCTAAGCAACTCCTGTTCCTGGATGCTTTCACCCAGCCACACTACACCAGGCATGTAAGAAAGCCAAGAATTGCCTCTGCCAATCCAGAAGGCAACCCAGTCCCAGCCTCAGCAAAGGGGCAGCAGTCTCTTACCTACATAGTCCCGGTAGGTTCCGTATGCAAACAGGTTCAGCAGCTGGAAATAAGCAGCATTAGACCCCTCAGCAAGCTGGATGGGGAGAAAAGAAACATCACATAAAATGGGCAACACAACCCTGAAAGGCACCTTCTCCAGAGAATGGCTGAAGGCTGCACAGGACTTAAGCAGAAAAGCAATTATATCCCAAGCTGGACCCTTCCTTCCTAAGGCCTCAAGAGCAGGAAATTTCAGGAGTTTTAGAGTCAAGATGATCCAGCCATTTCTATGCATTGGAACTTAACTCCAGTTTGGACTGTCAATGCTTTGTATACCAACTTGGGAGGTAAAAGAAAAAAGCAAATCTTAAGCAGCTGACAACCTACAGGGCCACTCCTCTCATCAGGTGATAAACAAGCAGCTAATGGTGAGGGCTGGTGAGGATCCTTTGAAAGCTAGGACAGCTTACCTGCAGAGCCACCACAGCTTCCAAGCAAAGCAAGCTGGGACACTGTAACTGGAGTGCAGTTGAAGGTAACAGCTCCTCTCTTGCCTGCAAATACTTCACTGGAATAACAGCAGCACCAAGCAGTAATTTTTATTGATTGGGTTTTTAATACCATTAACTGCACACAAACCCAGAAAAAAGCCAGCACTTGTGATTTGATACTGAATAACCATTGAGGTGCTTTTATGCATATTTAAGAGCCTGTTTGGAAAGCCAAACTTGCTGTACACTGTGTTACTCCAGCTGCAGAGATACTCAGCTTAGATTCCTTCATTGTAGAAGAGGCAGGGGCTGGCAAAGCACTCTCAGCAGAAGCTCTGGAACTTGCTTTCCACCTTGGTTTGAAATGGTTTGGATTTGGTTACCACCCAGGCCTGATACACTAGACATCTGTTCACAAAGACTTTTGGAGAGCACTGAAGTTCTGCTTTCCAGGACAGTAAAGAAGTAGAAAGGGATTTTTTCCTTGTTGGCTGCCAAAGTGCCTTCTTAAAACTGCTACTGTGCTGCTGCCAGGTTTTTGCTGTGCTAGCAATTGCCTTAAGGTAGCAAAGCTTTATATAGGTGTTCTTTAATACCTAACACATACAGGCAAAAGCAAGGTCACTCTCTTATTCAAAAACATCTCTCAACCCAGGTAAGTTGCAACAGGCCCTCCTGGCACAGAAATTTCCCCCACAGGCTGCCTGTGGAAACTTCTGGAGATCCCTTATGCCAGTAGTGCAGAAGGGGCATTAGAATAAAAACTCAACTCTTACCTCTTTCACATTTGTTAACTCCAACAGCTCTCCAAAGACATAAACCCCAGGAGCTTCCAGAACTTGATTTATAAGAGCAGTCAGAGCTGAGCCACTTGTTCCTTTGGCTAGTAAAATGAACTGCTCTAGAAGATTGCAGGATGGCTTCTGTTCTCCTGCCATTCTAGGTTTTCAATCTGTCAGTAAAAGAACATAATATTAACACATCCTTTCTCCTCTGCTGAGCTCTGCCTGGCAGGGGACCAGGAGGTGCTCAGCACAGCAACATTTCAGCTGCCAGCCTTTTCTTCAGCATTCGGGGGCAAGCCAAAAACCCAGCAGGTTCAACTGCTGATTTAGCTGGGGAGGCAAGGATGACTCCCACAATTTCTAAGCAAAATTTCTGTCTGAGCAGTTCCCTAAAAGGATCTGCTCTTGCAGATCCCTTCTTATAAGACAAGAGTTTAGATTTCATGCTGTTTTCAGACTTTTCCTTCTAGTGATGCTGCCAAATAATGCCAACTGTAAAGATGCTTATTGATACACTTGACTGACTTCCTCCTTCCTCATTACACAGCTCCAAATCAGCAACTAACAGAATTCCCTGTGAAGGACTGATGCACTCTGTATGCCCACACATCCACCTTTTCCCTTGACTCAGCCTATTGATACAGTGTGTTTCCATAATTCCCATTCCTTTCTGAGCCCAAAAGGCAAAAACAACTGTAAGGGGCCTGTAAGCAGCTCCCCTGTCTGCACTGTGCAGTTCAAGTGTTTGGGGTTAACTGGGAAGCTTAAGTGATAAAAATATCCTTTCTACAAAGGCTCTATTTAAGTTTCCTGTAAAGAGAGGTCTTTGTCTTCTGCTGCTGCCTGACATTTCTGGTGTGCATGTTGTCTCCCAGCACCAACATGTTGCTTTTGAAATGTAAACCACTATTTATTAACAAGTTCCACAAAATGAGTTGTTTGTTTACAAACAACTAAGACAAAACTTCCCAAGCATGTTATTCAGAAACCAAACAAAGGACTTAGCAGATAAGGGAGGTTTTGTGTTATGTTTGTATGGGATAATTATCAAGCAGAGGGCATAACCTTGATGAAAACCAAACACCAGAGAACCTGTCTGGTTCTGTGTGACCCACGTGAGCTGGGCCCACACCCACCCTTGTGGGGGGAGCACAGTCATACAGGGGCTTTGCCGTTCCACCAGGCCTAACCAAATTAAGGCTTGTGAAGGCATCACAGCTTCCTGTATTAGTCAACTTCTAAAAATACACTTCACTTTGTTCTATTACACCTGCAGGTACAAACGGTCTGAGCTTTAGAGGGCAGCCTTTAACACTCTCCACACTGAGATATCTCAGCCCCCGAAGTCTCTCTGGGGTTCTTTCCACCAGGGGCACACGTGCAGCCAGGCTGAACAGCACCTCAGCTCTGCCCAGAAATCCCTGCACTACAGAACAGTCAATGTGCCTGCCTAACACATCAGCGTGCTCCCTCTGCTCACAGAGAGGACAATTTCCTCACGAGAGAATATGGATTGACTGTGCTGGGAATGAGATTCATATTTCACAGTTCTATTGTCCTCCCTCACAGGTGATCAAACCACACGCTGGTGTATGAGGTTACAAAAGACTGGCTGGCTGTATTCATGCCCTGGTGGGGAAGAGATGCCAATTCTCTGCCCCTTTCCAAGTAAATGTTCAAACAATTGCGGTGCTATTGCAACCTGTGTGCACACCCGTGTCACAGGGAATACCTCGCTGCTTCCAAAACCCATTCACCCCGGTGAGAAGTGAATGAAATACAGCAGACCCTCCAACGTAGCTTGTCCAAAAGCTACAACAACCCAACCAGAGGGACAAGCCGGGCTTCTCTCGTGGTCAGGCCTTTCTCAGGTAGCTTAAGGAGTTTCAGGGCGGGAAGCGGCCCGCAAACCCCGCAGCAGGAAGGCGAGGGTTTCCCGGCCCTGCCGTTCTCCCCAGACCCCCGGCAGAGCCCTCGGGCCCCACCGAGCCCTGCCGCAGGGGGAAATTTACCGGGGGTCCCCCACCGCCACCTCTGTTCTCGGGAGGCTTCTCCCAGCCCCGGCATTACCTCTCCGCTCCCGGCCTCCCGTCCCGCCGCTCCCGGCGCCGAACCCGCCGCGCCTCAAGCCGCCATGATGGCGGCGCCGGTGTCCGCGCGCGGCTCCTTCCCCCCGGAATGCGCGGGCCGCGCCGAACGTTCCGGCCGATCCCGGCGGCCGCAAGGAGCGGGAAGCGCGGCCCGGCATCCCCGGGGTACCGGGATGGGGACGGCGGGCTGGTTGTGCTGGCACCGACAGAGCCGTGCTCCAGCAGCCACGGAGCAAACTTGATGTGCTTATGCCGCAACAGCTGCTCCGCTGCGTCCCAGCAGCTGTTCCAGTATAAGCAAGTAAAATTCCTGCCTCTCTTTTAGGGGATACGAGGTCCTGTGGCAGCATCACAGGGGTTTGAACCCCAAAATAACCCGTGCAAAGGGCGGGTGTTGTAAGGCCACTTCGTTATTAGAAGTGCGGCCATAATTAGATTGAATGGAACAGACTCCCCAGGGAAGTGATCACAGCCCCAAGGCTGGCAGAGCTCAAGAGTGTTTGGACAGCACCCTCAGGCACACGGTGGGATTCCTGGGGCTGTCCTGTGCAAGGACAGGAGTTGGGCTCGATGATCCTTGTGAGTCCCTTCCCACTCAGGATATTCTGTGATTCTACCAGATGAGCCTCTCGGGCCAGTCCTCCTGGGAAATGGCAAGAGATGGAGTGAAGATAGAACTGATTTTGAACTCCATAGAAAAATGGTCCATACAAATGATAAACCAAAGCTGGCTGTCACATGGGGGAGCAGGGAGGGAACTGGAAGGGTTAAGATCCTCCCCAGGGCATAGATCAAGAGCCAAAAGATGCTTGAAAGAGTATCACAATAAGGATGGAAACAAGGGGGAATTGGGGGTTGTTAACCTCCCCAGGGTTTGTAGGCTCATCCATGCCATGTTGTGAACAAAATGTTAAAAATCCTTCAGCTGAGAGCAAAGTGCTTCTGGCTTTCAGTCAGCAAGTCCCTGAAGATCATCAAATTATGGACCAGCATGGTCAGGAGGGGGGAACTTTCAAGGAATGAACATCAGAAACTATTAGGGAAACTGATGGGGCTTAGCCTGTGTCTCAGAGCCATCTACAGCAGGTCCCTGATGTCCCATCATCCAGCAGAGAAGGGGTGTCAGACAAGGGCAGAGATGCAGGTGTTGGAATGCTGTTGTGACACTCTGGGCTTCAGAGCAAATTGGATGTAAAAAACCAGGCCCTGCGCAACCAGGGAACTCAGCCAGGGCTATAACAAGCCAGTCAGTAATTTACTTAAGCCACACTTAGCCCTCATCTGCACAGGGAGGGAGAATTACCTCTTTAATCACATCCTAACCAGGCCCTTGCCCACAGTTCATCCTGCAGACATGCTGGAACAGTTGCCTTGGACTAACAGTGTGTGGCCTCCTTTTTCCCAACACTCACTAAAGCTCAAATTCCAGGCTGAAACTGAAATGGAAATATATGATTGTGAGCTATTTCCCATGGATTCTGCAACCTTTTGCTAGAACCTGTGGGTAAAAATCATCTGTTAGCCCCATGTAGGTCAGCCAGGAGTCCCTGTCCTGATACCTCCCAACTGCTGACAGCCAGTCTGGCTGACTGACCTGGACTTTGGAGGACAGCATCAGCAAAGCTCAGCTTTTGGGGCGGATTTTTGTTTTTAAGAGGAAAAATATGTGTATGTCCAGCTGTCTCACTCCCTTTTAAACAGCTATTGCAACCTCTTGCTCCACCCACGCAGCTCTCTGTGTGCCAGGAGATGTTAATCCATTTTATCTTTTAATGTTGGCATTATCTCTTGACTCACCCCACCTCTTCCCCTTGTGATTCTGCAGTCCAGGTCCCTTTTAGGCAGCACATAATTCACTTTATTTCCCTGCACTGCCACAGTAATGTCCCCAGGTAGTGGGGTCCTGGACCCCCAGACTTTGAGGACACCTGACCTCACCAAGGAGAGGGCCAAGAGTGAAAACACTTTTGTGTTTCTTGTATTTTCCCTTGTATTTCATTGCTCAGCTGTGTGTGCTTCCACGACCCTTCATCCATTCATCCCCATTCCCTGCAGCTGCCAGCATACACCTCCAGAGCATGGTGGAGGGGAGCTCCCAGGCCCTGCTGAAAAGGTCCTGAACTCTCTTTATTTCCCAGAATCCACGGACTAAGCTGCTTGCTGGACTCTCATCTCAGCCAGGCAAGGAGTGATGTCTGTCTGGCTGTAGATATGAAGTTGTACAACCTCTCCCAACAGGTGTGGGGTGGGATGAAGCCCCACTTGGGGCTATCTGAACTATCTCCCAGTTACTCTGCTCTGCAGAAACACCAGCTCCCTTACCTGCACCTTGAGAACAGCTGCTGGAGAAGCAGAAAGCAGGCTGGAGGCATCTTCTCGCCTGCAGTGGTAGCTCAGAAGCTCCCACACCTGCCAGAGATGTGAAGGAAAGGTTTTCAGTTCCAAGTGGCACCAAAGGATAGAGGGATTTGCAGCAACTTTCTTCCAAGATTTTTAGGATGATGTGCTCAAGAGTGCTGTTTGTGTTAATGCAGCCCAAGGACTGTGAGAGATCCCAGGGGTTTTGTCACTCTGAGTTGTGCCGTCACTTATTCCATGGCTGCTTGGCCCTGCACTAGTGACAGGAGCTTCACACTTCAGCTGTGAGCTCTTTTGTTATGTTCAGAAGTTCATGAAAGAGAGGCCTGTGCCTCCCAGCACAGCAAGGTGACTTTGGGAATTCTGAGACTTGGCCAGGAAATGCAAAGGCTCCAACTCGAAACTCCACAAACATCCCTACCCCTGTGCTAGAGAAGCCCTTCAAAGCTGCGAGAGTTCCCTTCTATGAGATCCATTTGGTCTCTGGCTCCTTCATCTCTGAGGAGCCTGAGCAAAGACAGGATGGAGTTTCTTATGACTTCTGTAAACCAGCATGTCCTACTTACACCTGGCAGGCTCATTTCCTACATACAACCATTTGTCTCTGCCTTTTCCAGGTCTGCTTTTGTCTTGCTTGCCTTTTCTCCTTGTCACTCTTTTCTCCTCAGTGATATTTAGTCCCTCCTCTTTAGACAGCATGCAATTCCACAGCCTAGCTAAAATCCGGGATGGACTCTTAACAAAATATAGATACATATTTGCACAGCTCACCCCTGGCACTCTGCCCAGACTCAAAATGATCCCTCCATACACTTAAACTGATGGTGGGAAATTGAGCATGGATCATATACATCAGGAAAATAAATGCTGCCTATTTTTATTATTAAGATCTCTTGTCAGTGATGCTGGCAGTGGCCTTGCCCTTATGCATTAAATGCAGCCTTTATTAACACTCACATTCTCCACTTTTGCACAGTGGGTGATTTGGAGGCAAGTGGAGCCATGAGTGAGTGTATTGATGGCACCCTGACTGTTCACTGGTCCTCGTTTGAGGACTGGGTTACAACTGCTGGCTTTATTTTATCCATGACTTAATGTTTTATCAGTTGCACTCAGATTGTTAAGAGAGGGGTTAATTAGCTCATGTTAAAGAGCAGCCTGGCTCCTGGGATGTACTAACAAATCTGAGACTTTCCCCTCCACAATCAACTCTGCTACACAAACATAAAGGCTATGAAGATGATTAGAGGGCTAGAGCACCTCTCTGATGAGGAAAGGCTGGAAGAATTTGCATTGTTCAGCCTGGAGAAGGTTCCAGGGTGACATCATTCAGGCCTTTCTGTACCTGAAGGGGTCCTACAAGAAAGCTGGAGGGACTTTTTACAAGGCAATAGAGTTCTTGTGATAGAACAAGGGGCATGGCTTCAAAATGACAGAAGGCAGATTGAGATTAGATATAAGGATGGAATTATTTCCTGTGAGGGTGCTGAGGCACTGACAGGTTGCCTGGCAAAGCTGTGGATGCCCTATCCCTGGATGTGTTCAAGGCCAGTCTGGATGGTCTTTAAGTCCCTTTCAATTCCAACTGATCTGTGATTCAAATTTCTGCAGCACAAAGAAGGCTGCCTTTGTTCCAGGGGGTAGCACGCTATTTATCTTAAACCTTCTCCACAATGCTGGTGCTGTTGGCTCCGGCCTCGGGACACGCAGAATCTCAGAACTGCGAGGTTTGGGAGGGACCTCTGGCGATCACCCAGTCCAACCCCCTGCCAAGGCAGGGTCACCTGGAGCAGATGACACAGAACTGGTCCAGGTGGGTTCTGAAGGTCTCCAGCAGAAGCCGCTCCGGGGCTGAGCACCCGGGTCCCCGGCACCACAAGAGCTCAAGGGCAGAGGTCCGCCGAGCAGCCCCAGAGACGGAACCTCGGGACCCCCATTGCCCGGGGAGAAGCGCCAGCCAAGCTCCAGCGGCTCGGGGCCGTTCGGCCGCCGCTCACTAGGCCCGGGGCGGCTTCTCACCCCTCGACTGCTCCCCGCTGAGGCCTCCCGGGCCCGGGGACCGCCCGCTCCCCCTGCCCGGTCATCCTGCAGCGCCTCCATCGCGGCCACGTCAGGCCCAGCCGAAGAATCTCGGCGACCGCTCCGCACCCACCCTTGAATGAGGGAGAGCGCTGCCTGATTGGTCAGCAGCGCTGTCATTCCTGCACCAGAAGGCAGGGCGAGGAGGGGACGACAGCGGCTGATTGGTCAGCGCGGCGGCGGGCGGCCGCTGGCGGCCGCTGGGGTTGGTTGCGCCGGGCAGTGGCGGGTGCGCGGGAGGGAGGGGCGGGGGGTCCTGAGGCTCCGCTGTCACCGCCGCGCTCCCGCCAGGCCCGGCCCAGCCCCGTCCGCCCGCCCGCGGCGCGGCAGGACCATGTCGGCCACGGACGAGCGGGCCAAGGAGATCCTCCGCGGCTTCAAGCTGTATCCTCCGTGCGGGGGCCGTGAGGCGGCGCGGGGGGCGCGGGGATCGCTGCCCCGCTGTGGCGAGGCCCCTAGGGCGGGAGGGGGGTTGCCATGGCAACGCGGTTCTTAATGGCGTCCGCACCCCGGCGGTGGCGGGAGGGTCCCTCGGGGCTGGGACCGGCCCTGGGCCGGCCGGGGAGGGGGGTCGGGAAAGGAGGCCCGTGACG